AATGATTGCGTTCCGATTCGGTTCCTTAGGACCCTTGACCCTCTTCAGTTTGTCTGACGCATGTGTTCATCTGTTCGCAGATCTTCCTCTATATTAACCAGGCTTGTTCCATAGGTTTTATTCACGCAGTGGCTGAGATCAACGTGATATTGTTATTTTACGTATCATGGTAAAGAAACTAATTGCATGCAACTTCCTGATACTCAACGATTGTTTTTTTTTTATTCTCGCGTTTATTTGTTCTTTCTATTCACTTTTTACGATCTACCTACAAGTGTCGGCATCCAATCGTAGGCCGTTTTCGTCTTTTCTGATTTATGTCCCAGTGAAACGCAAAATTTTTTCGTAACTCTCAAATGGTTTCACTCTTCGTTTTAGAACCGGCGAAATCAGTATTGCCAAGCGCCTACTAAATCTATTGCAATGGGACCAACTTTTTGACTTTATGGAGATCTATCCGGGATCGAAACTCAAACATTTTGAAAGGTAAATCCAACCAATGGGTTGTCGCGTATTTGCTCTTCCTGCACGACGACTAATGCCTGTCCGCGTTTTTCCACCGTCGGAAATGCTTACCTCAAAGCGAAAGCTTTGCCAGACTTTGGGATCCGAGCCGAATATGGAAGAGGGTATTTTTTATGAGTGTTTCTTCGAACGAGAAAGAGTGATAAACTCGACCGAGTTGAAGGATGAGAACGGTCGACGGATAAGTCCAAATACAGATGTACGTGCTCAGCGAAGATTTTGTGAGAAAAATGTCCACCAGAATCATTATGGTGGTCGCACAGTTTGAGTTTCCATATTCCTGAAGAATTGAAACACGGCCGTCTGATTCACAAGGAAGAGGAGTGAGATCTTTTTCAAGCAGATCGGGCAAGGTGCTGTAAGAGTATTAGATAATAAGGGGTGGGACAGATCGATAAACAAAAGAATAGACAATAGACTATTTCGCAATAGCCTGCGGATATGAAGAGATAACCGTCAAAGCTGGCTAGCAATACTGAAGATATAATTAGACGATCTGCAATTACTTTCCATGGTAACACCAAGGTACGTGAAGGTGTCCACGCTAAGAACGAGGGTTCATTGGGATAGGAAAAACTCGAAAGAGTGAAGATACGCTGGAAAGATTTCGATAAGTTGAGAATAAAGCCTGATTTCAGAGAAAATCCCTGAATTTATGTGAGATTATTGGAGAATGAAGGGAAATTAAACTGATTTGAAAGCGCTTGACAGATTGCTACGTTGTCTGCCTACTTATCAAGTTTGACTGATGATGTGTCAGACAAATCACTAAGTTAATTAGTGAATTAGTAATGGAAAACATAGCACTTTGAAGAACTCCAGAGTAAATCAATATTCGACAAGATAAATTCTTACTCGGTGCGTTGAAATCTGTCCGTAAAATAGTCTTTAAACCATGAAAGAATCGGCATAGGGTAACCAAACAAGGGTAATTTGTAACGGCGGGAAGGATGAGAGACTAAGTTGAATGCCAACGGATAATCAATAAATATACAGCGGACGGACTTCATTGAGAATCCCAGAGACTCATTAATAAAGTGCGGTACATATGATACTGTGTCTAAAGTAGAGCATTTTGTTTTGTAAGCAAACTGAAAAGGATCCTAAGCAGCAGTTAAGGAAGAGAGCACGTGACTGAGAATAGCAGGTTCATGAAGTTTTACTATGGAAGAAGTGATTTTGATGTATTGAAAACATTCAAATTTATTTTCGTGTTTCACGAATAGGGCGAACATTAACGGGGTTCTTCGGATTTGGTTTAGATCAGATAGCTGACTTATGGACAAGAGCCGTCATTACCTCACCTAGTGGCTTAGCACGATACATTCTCTTGTCATGTGGCACACCTGGTAGATTCGAAAGAGTAAACTTCCGAAACTGCGACAGCATGTTAGTAGTGTATTGTTTTAAATAGCATGAAAAATTAGCTGGGATATTCGGGACCATTGACAGGCTCGATGAAAATTGCGTTTCTTCCGTTACTTATTTTCATAATTTGTAATTACCTACTGTTTATTTTAAATGAAATTGAAATATTCAGTCTCACGTGGTTTTAATGTATCCAAGGGATTTAAATCTTATGATGCCCTCAGTTCAACATTAGGACGATGCATTCAGCGTTCGGTCCTTTTTCCGTTTCAGTTCCATGCAGCGGGAGGGGGATGATTTTTCTAACCCAATTTCCTAGTGTCAATTCTGAGTATTGTCAGATTCGAGCGTGACCACAGAATTGAGTACATGGTGTCCGCTATGATTTTCAACAGTTTTGGCTGTAATGACATCACAGAATTAGAGCACAGTTGACGATTCACGCTACTCATGCTCTTCTCGTGAACATTGAGTACTGTAGTCCCTGTAGATATCCGTTCGTTTGTTCTTGTTTTTTTATTAGACACTTTAGCGTGATGAACAGCAGGTGAAGTAAACCCCTTAGTCACAAGAACCTGATGTTCAGTGCTGGTAACCGGCAATCTAAGCCCCGTCACTTTGAGCTGTGAACCGTATAGGGCCCCACTGTTGCTGTTGCTTACTTAAACCGACTGACATCAGTGCTGCTGTTATTCTTTGTGACTTCATTGCCTGATTCAGTTCAAGACGTGGTACGATAGTGTGATTCCCAAAGTATAAGTACATCGCTCAAACATGCTAATGACCTCAGTTTGAACAACCATGCACTTCTGTGCGCCGGTTTTGGTTGCTGTCTTTTGGCTGCCTATTTGGATGAACAGTAGGAGAAAGAAAAGAAGATCCGAAATATAATCGAAGAGAAAATTGGGAATTTCAATGTATTAATATTGCAAAGAAATTGAGAAGAGGTACGAACACCACTGTTTACGACTCAGCCAATATTGTCCCGAGGTCACCATCCAGGGAGCCTAATGGGACTTATATGACGAAGATTCCTGGCTAGGGTTTTCATACCCTCATATCAGGTCTTAGCTTGATCACCCTTGACTTTATTCCACCCACTATCTACCTCGGTATCATCATTATTGTGCAGCGTAATACGGTGAAGGGAACTTCACTGATAGCTGCCAAGCTCATATTGCATACAACGTAAGTGATAATGTGTAAGGAGGACAGGGATTAGACCTATTGTTAGGGACGGGAAAAAAAACCTCTATGGTCAACGAATACCTACGATACAACGTTAGTTGCAAATCGGCCTTCGAAGCGGAACTCTCCGAACGCCTGTCAATCCAACCGCCAGCCGAGGACTCAATGAACACTGGAAACAAATCAAGGAAGCTATGCAAATATTAATAAAAACAACGTAGGCTCACGCAGGCTCAAAGCATAAACGACTGATCTCATTGACCTCGGCTGCCCTGCTGAACGCCCGCAGAACCTTTCCTCCCGATCCCGCATATGACACAGCGCGCAAAGCCCTAAAACTCCAGCTCATCAAGAGTCTCAGGAATGACCGCGACAAGTGGTGAGTAGAGTAGTGTAGAGAGATGGAGAAGGCTGCCGCTATCAGCAATAGTCGCAATCTTTTCCGTCGAATTAGGAATACGGGTTCTAGGAAAATAAGTGTAAGGTAATTGAGGAATCCGATGGCACCCTGATTCACGATCAGCAACGCCGTCTTGATCGGTGGGCTGAACATCTCAAGGCTCAGTTCAACTGGCCCCCATCGACATCTGAACTGTCACTCTCTACCGCGACTGCACAAATTCTGCCAGTCGATGCCAGTCCTCCATCTGAAATGGAGGTTTCTCGGGAAATAAGCTGTCTCAAAAGGCATAAGGCCTCAGGCCCAGACGGGCTCTCCCCATCCGTTTTTAAGGATGCAGGCTTAGCATTGGTTTCGGAGTTAACGAAGCTCCTGGGTTCAGTGTGGGAAAAGGAACAGGTTCCAACTGAATGGTGTGAATCGATGATCATACCGATTTACAAGAAGAGCGACAGGTCCTCTTGTGAAAACCGTAGAGGAATTAGTTTAATCCACATCGTCTCTAAATTTCTCGCTGGCATCATACTCCGTCGATTGTCTGCCACACGTGAATAGTGCTCGCGTGAGAACCAGGCTGGTTTCAGACCCGGTCGAGGTTGTACCGACCACAACTCTACTCTTCGTTGAATCCTAGAACACAGGCTCTCGTTTCGTAGACCCACCATCTCTATTTTCCTGGATCTTAAAGCGGCCTTCGACTCTGTCGACCGCTCTAAACTCTGTCACTGCCTTTCTCTGAAAGGTGTGCCCGAGAAGTTTATTTCAATATTACGATCCCTCTATACTCATAGCCGAAGTCGAGTCCGAGCTTACGGCACTTTTCACCCGAGTTCACCACGGAAAGTGGTGTTAGACAGGGTTGCCCTCTGTCTCCTTTTCTATTTAACTTTGTCATAGATTTAATTCTTGAAACAGCCCTATCCTCGTGCAGGGATAGGGGTATCAATTCACTTGCGGGTGGTAGACTGTCTGATCTAGAGTATGCAGACGACATTGTGTTACTAAGTGACGATCCAGGTAAGTTGCAAGCATTTCTGGATAACTTGAATGCGATTGTAGCCATATTCGGCATGCGTTTTGCACCTTTTAAGTGTAAAATTGTACTACAAGACTGGATTGATCCAACACCCAGTGTCATTCTTACTGGAGAAGTTATGGTGCAAGTGGATAAGTTTTGTTATTTGTGCGGCTAGATCCCTCCCGGTCGACACATCGCGGATGAAGTGTCAGCTTGCATACAGAACTCTCGATTGTCATTTTCCAACTTTAGACATCTGTGACGCCGTCGCGACATCCGGCTGTCTGTGAAGTTTCGACTGTATGGTGCGGCAGTTCGGCCAGTTCTGCTGTATGGAGCCGAAACTTGGCCAATAAGAAGACAAGAGAAAGATGGACCGTCGGTGTTTGAACACTGCTGTGTACGCAGCATTGCACGAATCCGGTGGGGCAACCGGACGAGCAATGCTGAGGTCAGTCGAAAAGTCTTAGGTAACCGCGGTCGCTCACTGGAGTAAGAGGTCGACTTCGATAGATTACGTTGGTCACAGCATGTGTTGCGCATGTCACCAGATAGGTTACCATGGCTAGCGATATTCGCCGCGGCCATCACCACGAGACTGCACCTTCACATGGTGTAATGTCCTGTGCACCTCGTTGACCCAACCGGCTATACAGGATGGCTTTCTTTAAGCCGCAGGACTAATCATACCTGAAAGGTGAATGCAATGGGTAGTGGTCAGACGAAGTCGAGTCTCTTAGTCCTCGAGGTTTAGGGTGCGACCCGAGTTAGCGTCTCATACGGTAGAATGGTGGAGTAATAGATACAAGAAAATCGGCCTCTGCTTCGCTTTAACCGCCCCGTTGCGATCAGGTTCATGTTGGAACTAAAGGCTCTCGTCGGGATCCCTAATCGTTCTCCTGCTCAGTACCTGGACACCCTGGCAGTAGCCGCTCATCAAACTTAAATCCATACGGAAACGAAAATAATTGCATACTGCATCGGTCGTCGCAAAGCATAATCAGGACCGCGCTGCTCATTGCATCAAGCGGGGTGGGTAGTGATAAGTGGTCTACCGCTCAGATATCGCAAGATTTGTTTAACTTTTTTTCTTCCCTACCTAACCGTCTCCTTTTACCTCTTCTACCAACCCACTACATTCCCTCGTCTTTCGCCACAGTTCGTCGCCAGGTAGCCCGGCAAGTAATTTTCCATGAAGTGGATCGCGTATTGTGAATCCTCGTCATCTACTGAATCTGGGACTTCAACGCAAAGGTGCAAGTAGGTCAACAAGCGTGTCTGGCGCGTACAATGAACTCTTTGGTGATGGATACCTGCTGCGTTTAAGAGACTCAAATCCAAGATCCTAGTACTGTTTGCCACTTGGGTGCACGGGGGTTGTCTTCGAGGTTCCTCCTCTGCACGTCAGGTGATTACTAAGCCCGTTTAGTAGGCTAGCTTGGCGTGAGCATATACTCAACAATACAGCCGAGGCCGCACTACTCGATTGGATCCCCGTCAACAACTGCTTACGTGCGATGCGGCTTCAAATGTCTATCAGCATCCGGAAGAGAAACAGCACCAAAAGGGTTTTATTCATCGTTTCAGCGTATACGCCAATCAACTGCAGTTCTGACGCACAAAAGGAGGAGTTTTATGATAAACTCACTGAACTCATTCGATTGAGCCGAAGCTCCGATATAGTCGTTCTCACCCTTTTTTAATGCTCCAGTTGGAAGACTGAGCGCATTCGTAGCTTGTCTAGGCGGTCGTTGTGCTCTGCTTTGCCAACGAACAGATAACAACGACCGACTTCTTGAGTTCTGCGCAGATCATCATCTGTGCCGTTTTGAATCAGAACCAGGGCAAGAGCTAAACGCGCTGCGGGGTGGTAGTGTAAATGTACAGTGGCATCAGATTAAGCCAGCAATGCACTTCGCAGCCAAGGTTGCCTGTGGATCTGAAGCGGTAGCCCGCTCGAGGCATTAGATATCTGATGAGTCAGCAGCACTAATGGACAAAAAGCGGCAAATCCCAACCACTCGGGATCAAGGCAGGGTTAGGTGCCGTTTGCAAATTCAGATCAAGAAGAGCCTCGAGAAAGACCTTGACAACTAGTGGGCAACGAATGCTAGCGAAATGGAAGTAGCAGCTGCATCAGGGACTAGTCAAAGACTTTTCCGACTGACACTCAATACGGGAGGTCGGCGAACCACAGTTAGTGAGACAGTCTGCGATAAGGGGGTTAAGCTATTCACAATAGGGATCAACGATTTGATCGCTGGGGGGAATAATTCAGCGAACAGTTCATCTAGCCTGCCGCTAACCAGGTTGCCTTGTCCGCAACTGAATCTCCGTGGGCAGTGTGCTGCGATCCTCCAGCAGAAGTTCGGTCTTGCGTTCATGATGTGAAGCGAGGAAAGACAACAGGACCGGACGGGCTTCCTTCTACTCTTTTCAAGATGGGGAGCGATGACCTCGTAAACTGTATTACTACCGTACTGCGCAACATTTGGACGCAAGAGCGCACTCCTTCATCTTGGGACGAATCATTGATCGTTCCCATTTTCAAGAAAAGATCTCGTAACGATTGCGAAAACAGCGCGATAAATTTGATCCCAATAGTCACCAAAGTGCTGGCCTCGGTCATACTTCGACGTCTGGCTACTTTAAAAGGGAGCAACATCCATGAAAGGGAAGCAGGACTTCGGTCTGACCGTGGATGTATTTAGTAAATTCAAAGTCTTCACGACCGAAATTTTTCGTTTGTCGGTATTCACATCGGATGGGTGGAACGGGTTTATAATCTGGAAGTAAGCCGTCGTGTTTTGGGGACTTCCTCAGGGATGAAATGGCTAGTTCATCAACCTTAGATTAATGGGCGTTAGTGCCTATAGCATCTATTAGGTATGCTCAGCTGTCGTCTGCCGCATCTCGCTTTATTCACTGTAACCGCTACGGGCTGGGGGAAACCACGTGGAGGTCAATAGTTGACGTGGAGACGAGGCGTGACGAAATGCACACAGCCATAAGGTAGAGTAGCTGTCTCTTGCCTTACAAAATGGGATCTGAAAGACTCCGCAACTGGGTGTTTGGGGACATTGAAGGATATGGCAGCGAACCGACTGCAGTTGCGTTTTCGTTTCATTTCTTATCAGGCCGGAATGCATGAAACGTTATGTTTGCAGAGATCGATTGTGCACTCTATATGTTGACCATAGTGGTTTACCTTATTCTATCTCCCGCAAAGTAGGACCAATCCCTGTCCACCTTAAATTTTACCACTAACCTTGTATTCATTACGAGTTTGGCAGCGATCAGTGAAGTTTGTCTCACTGTATTTCGCTTGTACGATGATAGTTATAATGATATCCAGTAAAAGGGAACTACGTTCCAGTTCCAGTTTATGCAATCCCTGACCTTACAATTTCATTCGGTAGTTTTGTTTGCTTCCCTTTCGGTTATCTATTTAGATGAAGGATTAGGGTGTTGGAAATGGTATCAATGTGAAGAATTCAGATAGACTGAGACTGGATAAATGCACCACTTACGATGCAGCCGTATCACTCAACATCGATTACTCTGATTCTGTAGACCTATTTGATCGAGACCCATCGTCAGCTTTTCCTTCTAGAGTGAGATTGAAATATGCTGAATTGAAACTGTAGGACTTTTCATGTAATAAGTGGCTCTTGGCTAGTATCCAGACCAAATGTGTTTGTAGTGCAAAGATGAACACTCTGATTGTGGCCTAAACTTTCATGCGCGATTGTGCACTTTTTCCTTTTGGGGCTGCACGATCAGGTGGCTACTTGTCCCAAGTGGTTCATACGCACCACCTCGCATGATCTGTTTTGCTGCGCCACACTTGGACCCCTTAAAATGAATAATATGTGCCTCCTCGTTCCGTCTCTTCACATTTCAGGTTTCACAGACTCACCGGAGTCCCGTATAATGAGATGATGTTCTTCGATGATGAAGATCGAAATGTAAATGAGATCCGTCGTTTGGGTGTGCACGCTCACCTGGTGTATCGTGGTGTCTCGTTGAGTGTGTTTGAATCCGCTCTGAAACAGTTTGAAGCAAACCGCAGCTGACAGTATAGATTTTCTCTCCCTCTATGTCTGGTCTTTCGCGATACCTTCGAGGAACCAAGATTACGATTGGCAGTCGTGTATTCTTGATGCTTCTGTCTTTCTGCCAGTGCTGAACTTGATGTATTTGACTGTTTTATCCACACGCATCACTCTCTCTCTCTCTCTATGCTTGCTGGATGGCATTAAGTCTGACTTGGTATTTCTTCGGCGTACAGTTTGTTTTATTCTTTATCAGGAAGAGATGGTGGTCAGTGTTTTAGTCATTTTATCATTTTTCGGAGCTGTTGCTATTGCTGTCCGTCCTCATTTAATAAGCAGCACACGTTCTGAATAGACCTTGACATTCTATTTTCTTGCTAACCAAATTTGGCACTCTTCAGAAAAATCGTATTGATTTGATGTCGTTTTTTGGAAGGCGGAGGATAACAGTCATTCTCCAATTAACGCTAGTCGTACTAATCCATCTACAGTAGCCGGTGGACATCGTATAATGTTCTGCTCATGTCTTGGTTGCATCATCATCATCGTATTCCGCTGTAAGATGATGATAATGATGCACCGTAAAGCAGAACTGACCAAACTGCCGCAGCATAAACTGGACCCTTCACAGACAACCGGATGTCGCGACGTCTCCCAATTATCAAACGCGAACCGAGCCTACTGTCTGCGCGCCGACACTTCATCCATGATGCATACACCGGGTGAGATGAAGTAACACTTTACACTTTGAAGGTGCGAAATGCATACCGAACGTGACTACACTGACATTCAAGCTGTCCAGGGAAGCTTGCGACTTATTTGCGTAGCTTTGTTCATTTCCTTCTGATGTTCATTGAGTCTTTCGACTGGTGATTAAACTGATAGGTGATCAGAGAGTTCCACTTCGAAGACCGACTTGCAAAAATCTCTGATAATGTATTACGAGTATCCCTTGTCGCTGGCTGTTTTGCGGTCGCTTGCCAGGTGTAAGGAGAATTTGGCTCGTAACAAGGCGTCGTCTTTATCCACAGCTGTTGGCCAGTAGGGGCTGCAGTTTTGAATTGATCCCCCCCAGCGGTAACTGATGGCGATGTGGTCTATCTGAGTCCAGCGCAGTGAGAAGGTTGCCGATTTTCATCTAAGGCAGTGTCACTCCCTGGGCGTGAAGTTCGTGCTTGACAGGAACAATCCGAGGTCCACGCGGAGTTGAAGTAGACGATCTCCATTGTCCGCCCGGTTGGCTGGGATTGCATGCGGTCCGCCAAGAAGCCTTTCTAATTCGCCCAGGGATCCCACTTGAGCATTGAAGTCTCCGGCGACTACGACGACGTCCGTTGATCGAACACTTTGGAGCAATTGAGAAAGATCCTTGTAGAATTCATCCTTGATTTCGGGTGTACTGCAATCGAGCGTTGTATACAGCGACACGACGAACAAGCATCAACGCTTCATTCTGTAGCTATTGACCCGTGCTGAACCTTTGAGACGTACAGCGCTCAGTCGGCTACTGAATGAAATCCAATCAAGAAGCGAGCGCTCAGCCTTGGCACTTAGCGCAATCCCAACACGGACAACACCGCGAGTTTTGGATGCCGAATTGCTTGACGCATGAAGGGTGAAGCGTGAGGTTGAGGTTGGATCAGGAGAACGCAGGAAGCTAATGGAAGTAGGGTCTTGTATGCGTGTTTCGGAGACAACATACATCCAACTTGAAAGTTTCAAGGGTTCTTGCTAAGGCAGCTTGTTGACTGATGTGATGGATTGTGCGGAATTTTTAACGCGCTTAAATGAAAAGGGAATCTCGGCTCTAAAAATCTTAACTTCTGACGGTCTGGCCTTGCTTGTAAAACGCTGATTGATATTCGGTGGGTGGCGTAAACGGGAGATATCTGGAATTAGTTGAGGTTGAGAAGAAGAGCGAGACAGATGGAAATGAGACTTCTCTAAACGGTTTCTCTGATGTTAAGAAGTTTCCTCGATTCGGGATTTAACTGCTGCTGATACCATCACGACGAAACTGCACCTTGACGCGGTGTGATGACTTGCGTGTCTCCATGACCCTGCGAGCTACACGGGATGACTTTTCACAACCGTAGATCTAATCATGCCTGAAAGGTCAACGGGTAGAGGCCAGGCGAAGCTCAGTCTCACAAGCGAGCTGCTTGGGCACCTCGTGGCTTGTTTCTTCTATCCACACCCGCCCTTGGAGAGGTCACTCCAGTAAAAAACACGGTGAGGGGCAGTTTACCGGTTGAAAAACCCGCGCTTGATAGACGTAAGAGCGGGGTACCTGGGGCTTCCTCTCGACGGTGGGAGAAGTTT